CTGGCACTTTGCTGAACGTAATAATGCGTAACTCCGTAAGCCTTGTTTTAGACATTGAATTTCAGTCGCGTGAAATGCAACTAAGACAATAGATAATGAAGGCCGAAGCTTAATGAGGTTTATCATCTCATTATTGTCTTAGCACTGAGTGCATAAATTATACATGTCCTAATTACGCATTCAGTAATATTTTTTGTTAATTGACCGGGCAAAGCAAGACAAAATTTTGTTCATTTCTCGTTCAATTTTTAACCAAATTCAACCAAATTTTAATCAGTTCTTCCTTAGCCGATGGGAAATGCATTCAAAAAATTTCGTACGGATATGTTTGGTATTTCTTGAGTTATCGTGCTCACAGACAAACACACACACATACACACACACACACATACACACACACACACATACACACACACATACACACACACACACACATACAAACCCAGATGATTACATAACCTCCTGGCGGAGGTAAAAACAGAGAATATGAGAATTAAAGAGTTATAAGTCGATTAAAGGTATCCTTCAGTAACATATTTGTAACATAGTTGAGTTAACACATTATAGCATCTCTCTAGCCGCATTCGCTCAAAACTAAAAGAGTTATACATGTAGTCTAGGACCTGTATATGAGTTTGTATGCGATTAATTTAGGACAGGTAATCTCAACTGTTTTAGGGTAAATTGACCATGGCGGTCAACATGGCATATGTGCGAAAACCTGAATCCGGGACGAAAGTCCTGAAAATGACCCCGCCCTGAAATGGCAGTGTCGACATAGCTCTAACTTCCAAAAAGGAAAAGCGATAGCCTTTCTGAAGTGCTTATAGTGTTTAGAAGGGTTGCTTTTAGGGGTGGTCATTGGAAGGAAAAATTTGTCCGAGTATAATATTTTACCAGAAAATGACTATGCACCACCCCAGGTAAATTGCTGATTATGCACAAAATAACTAATATGCCTGGCAGAAATGAAATATTCTTATTTCCTAAAAAAAAATATTATGGGGTGAAAAAATATGCTTAATTTAACATAAATATTGTTGATTTCATAAGGATTGTCATTGTTTTCTTTAAATATAATACATTTTATTTCGCTTACCCCCCACGAAAACACGATTTCAGCCATATTTTGCCGTCTTGTTTGCTTTTTATCGCCGAATCTCGCAAATATCATCCAGTTATTGTATTTTTACATAATTATAAATGGCTGAAGAAGATTTCAAAGAAGGTTTCATCCACTTTTGTAACAGTGCAATGTATTTTATCTTCGATATTGTGTCCTTCGATATTTCGTCAAATGCCGCCATTTTAATGGCTCGCCGCTTCTCTGCCCGATAAATGCCACTTCTTCGTTTTCATATGTATTTAGATTACATTATCCAAGAGTACTTCCTTGTAGAATAGTATCAATCCAAATATTGAAAATATTATTGGTACTTGGGAGGAAAAAACCTCCCATAATAGTTGTCCTGTTTGAATTCAAAAGAAATAATTTAAAAGTCACGCGCAAGTTCGCGAAAACACCTCGTGGGTTACATAACAGGGGGGAGTGAATATTTTCACGAAACGTTTGTTCGCCACCACAGGCCACAGCAACCAACTAAGTACATTATATTTACTGTATCTTTGTGATTTATGATAAAAGCAATAAATATTTGCGTATCAATTATAAAAATACAAAAAATATAATACATTTAATCAGGAAGCGGCGAGCCATTAAAATGGCGGCATTTGACGAAATATCGAAGGACACAATATCGAAGATAAAATACACTGCACTGTTACAAAAGTGGATGAAACCTTCTTTGAAATCTTCTTCAGCCATTTATAATTATGTAAAAATACAATAACTGGATGATATTTGCGAGATTCGGCGATAAAAAGCAAACAAGACGGCAAAATATGGCTGAAATCGTGTTTTCGTGGGGGGTAAGCGAAATAAAATGTATTATATTTAAAGAAAACAATGACGATCTTTATGAAATCAACAATATTTATATTAAATTAAGCATAGTTTTTCACCCCATAATATTTTTTTTAGGAAATAAGAATATTTAATTTCTGCCAGGCATATTAGTTATTTTGTGCATAATCAGCAATTTACCTGGGGTGGTGCATAGTCATTTTCTGGTAAAATATTATACTCAGACAAATTTTTCCTTCCATTGACCACCCCTAAAAGCAACCCTTCTAAACATTATAAGCACTTCAGAAAGGCTATCGCTTTTCCTTTTTGGAAGTTAGAGCTATGTCGACACTGCCGTTTCAGGGCGGGGTCATTTTCAGGACTTTCGTCCCGGACTCAGGTTTTCGCACATATGCCATGTTGACCGTCATGGTCATTTTACCCTAAAACAGTTGAGATTACCTGTCCTAAATGAATCGCATACAAACTCATATACAGGTCCTAGACTAATGTATTTTATAACATATATACATTTTGTACGCTTATATATAATGCTCACAGCATTCATAATCGTGCAAATTTAACTCGAATTAATATTCGTAAATTTTTATCATTCTTACCAATGTCCAGTATATTAACTCCATCTATAGATATTGTCCCATCTGCAGGTTCCACAAGTCGAAAAAGAGATACTCCAATAGAAGATTTTCCTGAACCAGTTCGACCTACAATGCCTATTTTCTCCTCAGCTTTAATATTACAAGTGATGCCTTTTAAAACTAATGGCAGATTTTCCCTGTATCGCATCTAGCAAGAAAGGAGATAATTCCATAGTTGCTGTATTTACACAATGGCTAAGAAGTTACTATAATTTACTTAAGTTTCTACAGGCCTGATTCTAGATATTTTCTAAGTTGGAGAACTGCGTTCCTGATAACTTCTTATATTCTTACTCACATTATTATATATGTTGATCTGTATAGAGGACACTCTTTTGTGCGTAGCCTCCTCCGCAGGCATCTTGTGTGCGTTTCAGTATTCGAAAAAAATACCTCAGCAAACTTTTTCCGATCTACCTATTCGCAGGATAAAAACCAATAGAGATGCCTGCAGAGGAGGCTAGGTTGTGCGATTAGTTTTGAGCATTGAGATATCAATTGTCAAAATGATTGACGTTTAAATTAGAAATTAATATACAAAACTGTGGAAAACATGCTATATTGTCTATTTGAAAGGTCTTCAGTTAAAGAAGATCCATAAACTAGTCACTCGTATATTTAAGTCTCTATATATCCATCTTACTACATTTGACGAGGATCTAGATGGGGTGGAGGGGTTGTCTGAAAATCAGTAAACGGTAAAATTTTTGGTATTTTAACGGTAACAATTTGTAACATTTTGGTATTTTAACGGTAAATCTTTGAAAAGTGTTCTGAAACGATAAACAGTATTTTTTTCCGCACGATTCACGCTAAATTTTTAGTGTTTTCACGACTGACGGTAACCGAAATTGAGTGAATCACGACTCACGATATACCCCATCAACACCCTCTTTGATGTATAGCTATGAAAAAGTTCCCTCACCTTTAAGCCAACCATAGATAAGCTTCCTTTGGCAGGCCAGTCATCTGCAGGTTTTTTGTCAGGAATTGAGCAGGGAGCTTCTGGTTTCAGATTAATAATATAGTAAACAAGACGTTCTACATTGGTGAATGTTGATTCAACCTCTGCAATGAATCGTACTGTTAACTGCATAACACTTGTCAACTAAAAAGGACAAAATGTTTTAAAAATCCACCAGATTACCAATATATAATCAGGTATAAAAAAAAAACTGAGCAGATTTTGATCTCAATTTCGCAAAACAGCTATTAGTATCCAGTTTTTTTTATATATTTTGCTTCTTTGGGTACTTATACAATGTAGAATAATGAAAAAATTTCTCGAACTAAAATTTTGTCAACCAGGGGTGTGTGTCTTTTCCAACAAACTAGAAATGGCTTGCGCACGAGATTTAAAAGCTTTAATCTTATTTTGAGTTAATGGGTGAAAAATGTGTTGGGTGTTTAATTGCTGCACGAAATTGCAGACAATTTGTTTCAGTTTAAGCCCTTTAACTATTCACGCAAACGTACATTTTTCCTAAAAAATCAGCCTTTTGCATGCTTAATTAATGCCTTTGCCTAATTTGCATGTCAGCAATATGCAAATTAGGTAAAGGCATAATTAAGCATGCGAAAGGCTGATTTTTTAGGCGAAAATGAATAGTTTTTACTATAAAAAAAAACTTTAAAAGTTAATAAAGGGGCTTATACTAAAGCAAACAGTAATTAAAAACCCAACAAATTTTCCATCCATTAACCCAAAATACGATTAAAGCTTTTAGATTTCGTGCGCAAGCCATTTTTAGTTTGTTGGAAAAGAAACACCCTCCTGGTTTACACAATTTGAGTTCGTACTCAAGGAATCTATTTGTAACAAAAGCGTGATACCACAAGCTGTTTTGCGAAATTGAGAGCAATTTCAAATATGTTCAGTTTTTTTTTATACACCCTGTATAGCAATATAGAATTTGATAAACTATGATGACTATATTTTACTCTCAAATCATGTATTAATTAATCTATAACGTGAGAATAACTCGGACAGAGATTTAACCTGATCAGATATCAACACGAAATCACGTGATAAAAGTTATGTTCTAAATAAATATAGTAAAATGTACAATGGGTAAATATTTTATGTATTCTGGATATTTTATTTCACTCGCGTATTCATTATAAGCCCAAATTACCAAAGACAGTACACAACATCAAGCTTCCAAGTTAATCTTTGGGGTGGGTGTATCAAGTTAGCCCTTTGGTTGAAAATCAATATTAAGGACATGCAGTTTGGTTTGTTCTCTCCTGTGCTTCGCGGGTTTTTCTCCAGATCCTCTGGTTATTGTCCCTCATAAAAAAGAACAGCTTAAGCCAGGGGCGAACTGACAGTTTTTTCAAACGAAAATTTTCTAACCCTGTTTTGGCTAAAAAATAGGGGTCCAGACTATCTTTTACTTGGATGGGGTCAATTTTGTTCCACGAATCATAGCTCAGAAGCCATGTGAATATTCAGCAAGAGCTCCAAAATGTCTAAATCTGTTTTCCGTCCAGTAATTCCGGCCGATCGTGTCCCCTTGCCCAAACACTCAGTAGTGCGCCCCTGCTTTAGTTGTCGAGCACGTGTACCCGTTGAACCTCTCAGCCTTGAGTGAATTGGAAAAATGTACCTTGTGTAGCGGCCTGAAATAACTTATTATCATCATCATCATCATGATACTTGCCTGTAAAGCATAAGTAATTGCCAGTCCACCCATGGCAGCAGGAACATTATCTCGCAGTAGAACAATAAGAAGTGCTGTGACTGTTCCAATACCAATACTTATCACATCAAGACGTACAGCCAACCAACGGAAAGAGGTATAGTACATGAAATATGGCAAAGTGTTTTTATCGAGTAGTTTTTCAAATATTTCCGAAAACTCGCCGGTTTTTCCATAGGCGTGTAGTGTTGAAAGTCCTTGTACTGACGCAGAAATATGAGAGAAGACAGGAGATCTTGATATGTTATCCAGACGTTTTAACTCACGAACTGAACGACGAAAAAAGATATTCAATGATAGATACATTGCAACGAAAATAAAAAGAGGTATTATGAACCAATAAAATATCACTGCAATAACGAGGAACGTCATCGATATCAAAGACAGATTCAGTATTAGTACTTCCATATAGAACGGTAACCTGGTGTCGATCTCATCAATGTCTTTTGAGAATCTGTTCAAGATCTGTCCAATAGGCGTCGTGTCAAAGAATTCCATAGGACTTTTCGTGACAGCCCGGAATACCTGATTATGAAGGTTAGATGAAGCACGCAGAACGGTACTCACAAAGATGAAACATTTTACGACAAAAAGAATGATTAAGACAACCAATGACGATCCGTAAATTGTTGCATAAAAATTAAGATCAGGGTTGTCATTTAGTTTACCAGATGAACCTGCAGTCTAGAATGTATAAGAAAACCAGAAAACGATTAAAATATTAACAATTTATCATTTACTGTATGTATTTAGTGACAGTCATTGTCCATTAGTGCCACAATATTAATATGTTTGATATATTTTTAAGTTATTGTGCTGACAGACACACACACAGAATATTGTATTACCATATCGAGTATATCGTTGGATCCCCATTAGTGCAAATAATATTTTATTGGCAATATAAATTTTGCGAAATCGTGCAGCAAGATTTAGTTAACAATGTGTTAGTTAAACGAGTCCAGAGTTTCTGACCTAAAGCTCTAAAGAGATACTATTACAAAGAGTATACACACTCAGCTACAACTTCACAGAAACGTTTTACCTCGTTCCCGTTCCCATCATTGATCCACCGTCCAAGCCAGAAGTCAGTAAACACTTTCAACACCGTTGAAGCAAACACTAGCAATATCACACCAGCAACTACACAAAAACCTAAAACAACAACAACACTTATGCTGGAACAATAATACGGGTTCGTAAAGCTTATACTTAAATTGTAAATATCATCATAATTTCTTCCATAAGTAGGCCTACATATACACAATGGTCTCCTACGAAAACGTATAGATAAATATTTGCTCTCAACTGTTTTCGTGTGGTTAGTTGACTTTGTACCCAACACTTTTTCTTCATTGGCAGCCCTTTAAGGAACTACCTCTCTATATAATACTGTTTAAGAAACGAACCTCCTGCTGCTTTACAGTAATTCAAATATGTTGAAAGTGAAACTGTTCCTGTGTTTCTCTCTTCGGCTTTCATAAGGATATCTAAAACATATATATAAGCACACGTATTTAACCTGGTAGACGTGCCACAAGTGCGCCACAGAATTTTTTCCTCGCGGGAAATAAAAATTACGTCTTTGAAAAGTCTAGGTATATAGGAATTGAAAGGTGAGCATAAGTGTTTAGGGTGGGTTAGCGTCATTGAATATTCAGGGTGAGGAACTTAACAGTAAATGAATATTAAGGTCATCTGTCAATAAATATTCAGAATTTCAGAGGAAAGCGACCATTGCGGATATTGTATTAAATGATGTTACTCATCCACTTACCCTGACTTCATGAATATATGTGTTTCTCACTTTGACTATATTTCTCTTATTGTATTTTAATAATGGTTGCTGACCATGAATAATATTGAATATAATGAGATCACTGTTGCTCACTAATAAAAAAGGGTCATTCTGCCCCTATATATACTACCGCAGTCGCGTTGGTATTTCCACCACTACATTCTACAATTATGTTTGCTGTTGTCGTTGTCGCTGCTGTCGCTGTTTTCGTTGCTGTCACTGCGGTCGTTGCTGACATGACCGCAGTGATATTGCTGTGCTGTTGCTATCGTCGTCGTTGTTGTGGCAATATTACCGACCTTTTCCCTTCTCCACTCCATTCATTTTACTGTCGTCGTTCATTTCTTTCTTTTCTTCAGTCGTATTTGGCTGACTGTCTCCATTACTTTGAGCAGAAAGAGTTCTCTTTCTTACAATTTCTTCAAGAAGTTTACTGGTGTCTTCTTCATCATCTTCATCCTCGTTTCCTTCTGCCTCCAACCTCTGATGATAATTGTTTATTAAAACTGAAAAATCCTGCAATGAAAAAAAAAATCAAATGTTTATCAAATGGAAAATTAATTATGGCATCTTTGAATTACACTAAACTGCAAGTTCCACATTTTCCAATTAGCAAGATTCATTAATTGATTAGTTTTTTGTAAATTCGTCAATGAAAAGTTACCTTTTCATCTTGTATTAGCGTTTCATATTGGCCCATTTCGGCAATACGTCCATCTTTCAAGAGAATGACGTTGTCACAATGATTTAGATACTATATATAAGAAAACAAAGTTGGAATTTTACCCTGAAATTCCGTATAAAGATTTAGTTTCAGTAAAATATACTTCAAAATCCATAACATTTTCCTAAATTATTATAGCGGCACGACATTAACTATAACAAGGTCAAGGTGTCATATGCTACAAAGATATTAGAATATGTCGAACCTGTAATTGATGAGTGACAAATATAATAGTTTTGTCAGCTAACGCGCCTTTGATACAGCTATCAAAAATATGCTGTCCAACATGGCTGTCAACTGCACTGAGAGGATCATCAAGTAAGTAGATATCCTAAAAATTAAACATCACAAATAAATCTCGAAAAATGTAGTATAGCAAGCGAAGGCAGTCCAATAAAAATATTGTTAATGATGGTTTATGGACCATCTGTGGCGGACACTAGGGCGAGGAGGGGGGCGGGGGGCAACAGCTCCCTCAATAATTTCTGAAAGACTTTGAATGATGGATAATAACAGTCAAACAAAGTTGTAAACATAATTATTATATGGCTTTTCAAAATTCTATATTCTGATTGGTTGACAAGCGGTCCGTAAAAACCCATATCCGGAAATACGGACCACGGTCCGGATACTCTGGTATTTTCCGTATCCGGACCGGTGTCCCGGATGTCGTTTATCTGGCGGGAAATTTTTGCTTTGCAAACAGAAAAAATTTTTGCTTTTAAATTTTCCAATTGTGTGTCATTAAAATTTACAGATAAAAATTTCAAACAACCAAATTGTTTTTGATTGAGCATGCATGCCTACCGTATATTGTTACCCAGTGAAACTTACGAAAGCCGATTTAATTCGCACGAAAAGCATATGCTCACAGACTCAGTTCAGCCATATAATAAACCGATTATTGACCTCGCTTGTTCGGTCTGTACTGTGAAATATCAGACCTCTGTTTTTTGCATGGACCTCGCTCCTTTGTCGCTCGGTCCATACTAAAAACCTCGGTCTGATATTTCACAGTACAGACCTCACGCTCGTCGCTTGGTCAATAAGCCGTTATTATTCAACCATCAAAGCATAGGTAGGTTAAAAATCTCTGTATTGTATGGAATTAAAGGCAAAAAGAACAAACTAAGATTTCCACCTACAAATTATACGTTGGCAAACTAATCCACCCCGCCCCACCACCCAATATTTCGAGAAGTATCATCACTGACTATAACATACTGTGTATAGCAGCGAAAATGAAATATTTTAGTGGATGATACCTTGTCAGCATAAACAGCTCTTGCTAAGCTAATTCTCTGTTTTTGTCCACCACTAAGATTGATCCCTCGTTCACCAACCTGCATGCAGGAAGAAGACAACGCAGTGAATGGATTGTCGCAGTAGAAAAGTGAGAGAGCATCAGTGCATGTGCGCATGAAACTGGCTAGACGTGTTCCACGTCTGCTTCCTCATGGGGAGTTTTAGCGCCTTTTACAACTCCCAAATCACAACCTCTTTGATAAACCGTAACGACAAGATCATTCAAAGAACGAAATCCTCGCTTTTTTAAATGCCATCTCCAGAATTGTAGATGCAAAAACTGACTTCAAGAAATCATCAAGCACTTCCTCAAGCCAGGCTGTAATTTAATAGATCATGATGCCACACAGGCACCATAAGAATTATTGTACTTCCATTTTCGTCATATTTTCGTATTCTTATTTTTTTCTTCTACCTAAGCCGAGTACAACTACATTATGGATATGTTTACGAGAAAAGAACTCACAATATGAAACGAAGCAACAAGAAATTGAATTGATAATGAACTTCGTAAAACTCGGTTTTACTTTCACGACAAAAAATGTTATGAATATTTTGTTGCATATATCATAACGTATACATATAGCCTACATTGTCACTGTTATATTATTTATATGACAAAAACTGACCTCTGTTTGATCTCCGTGCGGAAAAATATGAAGGTCTTGATTTAAACTGCATGCTGTGATAACTTCTTTGTACCTTAACACAAATATATAAATAAATAAATTTATTTACTTGCCAGTAACAAGATAAAAAGCGTAACAATAAAAATATCAAACACAATAGCGATAATATCAAAAACAAAGTCAAAGACATTAATAATTGTAAAACATAACGTCTGTGGACGTGGCGGGAAAATACTGTGTCCTGAAAAATACAGTGAAAAAGTAGTTTGTATGTATATATAAGTACTGTAGGCTTAGTATGATCTATACCTACCGTCTAGGTTTAAAAGCTTTACCAAAAATAATATTTTCCTTTACAGATGCATTCATTAGCCATGCCTTGACATAATAATATAAGGAAAGATAACATAAGAGATAACATTTTATATATTTCACTGTGGGCTTGGATGTGTGTACCTTTTGAAATTAAACTGCAGCTCTTATTATTCATGTATACTGTAGTTGCATTATGATTCAACTACAGTACATGAAAAATAATCTTCGCTACCTCCCTGTAATATTTCTCATTATTTCTTAAACCATATACCTGTTGAGCAGCATAAGCAATGGAGCCATTGACCGAGACACTGCCTTCAACAAGAGTCATCTAAAACAAGAAAGTTTTTCATGCCGTTCAATAAATTGCAATCACATCATTAAAACACAATACATTCATAAAACACAACACACACACACAGTTATCAGGTATTGCGTTGTGTTGTCAATGTAACAAAACACCGCTGTTTGTTTCCTACACTTTTTTTCTTATTGATTCAATTAAAACAAACCTGGTTTCACTGTTCTCTGAGTTAAACTAGTTTGGAGTATAACTCATTATCTTATTTATTTATTTAAATTAATTTGCCCTATTATAAAGCAGGTGCAGCAACAAAAGGACACGAAGTAAATACAAGGAAGTACACCTATCACTTGGGCGCCATCCTTAATTTACATGGTCAGACCTCGAACCAAAAATTCTGTTTCAGACTTGACGGGAAGATCTGGGCAAGTTTATCCAAAATCGGGTGAAATTGACTTCCGGTTACCAATCCCAACCCCAAACATCTTGTATTCCAATTAACAATTTGACCATACAATATAACTGGTTTAATCGTATAACTGGAAAACACAACTATATGGAATTATAGTCCAAACAACACACACTTACCTGTGCGAGGACTGCATTGATCAAAGAACTTTTACCACTTCCAACGCCGCCACATACCCCAATTAGTTTACCCTACACGGAAGGGATTCTTAGGGGCTGTTCATATTATGCCAGCCATGCAGCTAGCTGGAATGGATCGTGTCACAAAAGATCGTTTGATTGAACTTTATACTGTTGCTGTTATCAAACTAAGTCTAAGCTAATTCAAAGCCGTGATAACAGCTTTATTAAACGACTCATCCTGGTTACCAGCTGGTCCAGCCTGGACCTTCACAAATTAGCTCCTTATATACTCGAGGGATGACGTCATCGATATTGGGAGATAGCTACCATCATCCATATTGAAGGTATCGTCAATCTACACCACGCTTAGGTAATGCCTCTGGCCATAACAATTGCTTCGCAGCCTGTTCGCAGGTGCGAGGTTTTCTAGAATGAACCGCACGTTTATCATATAATTTATTTTTCGATAAAATATCTTGTCTATGTCAAACACGAAACATTAGATAGTGGTTAATATTTCACCAAACGAAAATTGTTCCTCATCGCCCGCCATTACGTTCGAGGTGTTCGTTACATAAGGTGACGCCTCCTTTCGTCATGCTTAACGGGCATCGCTCATAGATATCTTATATACACTAGATAGCGCATCTCTTTTAGTAAAATTGAAGCCAAGAATATCCCAGCGGTTGCCCCCATTTGAATAGATGGCGGCCATGTGGAGTTTCCCACACGCTAATAAACGCTTAAAAAACAACAATAACTTTCATCTTTGAATAGTTTGAAAATGTATTTGGAATAGGGTTAACTTAATGTTTAAGTTCCCTGTTTAAGAAATAGAAAACATACGAGTCTTCCATTTCACGGGAATATCCTGAGTCTGCAATCACGGCTTCAATTTTTGAATTGCAAAATAATTAGATGCACTATCTAGTGTATATAAGATATCTATGACATCGCTAGAAGGCATGTCGCTTTTGCATATTTACCTTCTTAACAGTTAAATTGATATCAAACAAAGTTTTCACCAATTGTGTATTAAATTCCTCAGGAGCTTGTCTGCCTTCGTCTAGTACATTTTCGCTGTCTAAATATTCGGAAAAATCTTCTAGACTTCCTGTTAAAAGTAGCCTGCGTGGCAGGCTCATTGGGTTAGGGTTAGTGAAGAGTTGAACATAGCTTTTAATCTAGTAAGTTACCTTTTTCTCTAGCGTCATTTTCTTCTACCTGTTCACCGTTTTGTTCTGATCTTGGTGGGATGTTCTTCTCTGTTTCTAGTTTTACCTAAGTTAAAAGTTTCTACCATCAAACGCAATTTCCTCCTGTTGTAAGTACTGTAATAGAGTTTCACTGGACCTAGTTTGTTTTTGTTTGGGTTGACAGTAACATACCAAGAAGTTTATTATCCTTGGGTTGTATTTTTGTTCGCTTTGGGAGTAGGGAAAAAATTAATGCTTATCATGTGAAAAGCAACCACTTATGAACCAATCACAAGACAATATATTGACAATGCCGTAAATATAAATATACACAAAAGTAACAGAACCTCATTCCATCCAAACGTAGCTGACGTTATTTCCATGACCACATTTTCATTATCAGGTTTTGTCCTCCAAGGTTCGTATTCTTCCATTTTTAATAAACTCTTAAAATAAAAGTAGACCAAAACCTTGGGTGGTTCAAAGTTCTTTGACGAACACAACAGTTCATGGCTTTTATTATTCAGTTCCTTTCACACTTGATATGATCAATTAATAAGCACTCATTTACTGTGACTTAGATAAGATAATTTGCCACAGATATCAGTTATAAACAAGTTATTTTATAATAATAATATAGTTAGTTTTAAATAGTCAATATGTACACCATAAAGTAGATATCGGTGGCAAGGAGGCATCCGGAAACCATAGGGCTTGTAAATAGGATGTCTCCTTGGAGCAGTAGTAACAGAAAATATTGATCAGAAAAATGATTAGTTAGGTGCGGTCAAGAAAAACGTAATTAGGCATCTATCTGACTAGCAAATATTTCAAAATTCTATTCCTGAAGCAATTTATCGTCTGAGCACTTTTGACAAACTCTGGGAGAGAATTCCACAAATAGGATGGTGATGGAGAGAATTCCTTGAAATAGGATGGTGAACTGCTTTACATTAGTTCTACATGCATGAGCTCGGTATGAACTCGCATTTCTAGTGTTGTAATCATGGATTTCATTGTTGGTAATAAACAGATTGAGAAAAGAGGGTGGTAATAGCTGATTGTGGTAAGAAAACATGAATTTACCAATATGGAAGGAATTAAGCTGATATATATTGAGTATTTTACTAAATAGTGGAGCAGTATGCGCCCGGTAATTAGAATTGGACAGTACTCTGACAATTCGTTTCTGTAATAGAAATATGCGACTTAAATTGGAAAGATAGGTGGAGGACCAAGCAGTGTTACAATAGGTAAGGGATGGATAGATTAACGTGTAGTACAATGACAATTTAGTACAAGCTAATAGGTAAAAACAAGCTCGATAAATTATGCCGATAGACTTTGAAACCTTTTTACAGACATGAGTCACATGACTAATCACTAATGTGAGGCTTCCAGGTGAGATTCTCATCCAGAAAACCCCCGAGAAACTTAACCTTTGGTTTACGAGTAATACATTTGTCATCGAAAGAGAGAGATGTATCATAAGAGACTTTCTTATGCTTGGAGTGGAAATGTGGAAATTGTTTTGTCAATGTTAACAGAGAGTTTATTTGCTCTCATCCAAGAACCGATGCTTTGCAATGCTTCGTTTAACACTGCAGCTTACTCCACAGGGTCAGAGTGAGAATAACAGATGCTAGTATCATCCGCAAATAGCAAAGGTTCAACTATACGGGAGGCATTCGGAAGGTATATACATTTATATATAAAATAAAAAGGAGAGGGCCTAAAATTGAACCTTGGGGCACACCACATCGGGTGATTAACTGACTAGAAGTAACATTGTTGTACTGAATAAATTGTTTACGGTTATGAAAATAACTCTTGATCCAATTTAGCACGACTCCGCCTATGGCATAATTTTCGAGCTTGGAAAAAAGTATACCGTGATTTAGTATGTCAAACGCTTTCGACAAGTCTAGAAATGACCAATAGAAATTTTGTTTTGATCAATTTCAGTTGCTATTTTATTTACAAAATGTGTGAGGGCATGATTAGTTGAATGTTTGGTACGAAAACCAAACTGAAAAGAATACAAAATTTCAAATCTTTCTATAAAATCAAGCAAACGATTATACATAGAGAAACTTGACACGATCGAGATAGGTCTGTAGTTCGTAAATATATCTACATCATCAGCTTTAAAAATAGGAATTATTTTTGCCGTTTTAAGGTTATTTGGGAATATCCCTTTTTTCAAGGGATATATTAATTACACGCATTAATGGTTTCGAAATAATATCAAACGATTTTTTTACAAGATGCATAGGTATATGATTATAACCATGTGCTTTTCCACCTTTAAATGACATAGAGATCATTTTTAGCTCATGTTCAGTAGTAGGTTTAAGGAATATTGTTTCACTCATATTTGGTCGAAGGAAATCTCGAAATACATAATTTGTTGGGAGAATCCTGCTTTCCAAGGATGAGCCAATGTTTGTAAAATATTTACAAAATCCATTTGCAATTTCAAGAGGGTCAGTGATCACTGTACCATTTGATTTAAATGACGATGGTAAAGATGACTTCTTGCTTTTGGTATTTATAACCTCGTTTATTAATTTCCAAGTTTCCTTCAAGTCGCTTTTTGCTCGATCAAATTTGTTATCATAATAAGTTTTCTTAGTATTTCTAATTAGATGATTTAATTTGTTTTTATACCTTCTGTAATGAAGCTCACGTTGTAAAGTTGGATTACCCAGGTATTTCTCATAGAGTTTACTCTTTTTTCTAACGGAAACCAATAAATCTTTAGTAATCCAGGGCGTTTTCGGCTTTCTGGAAGAGTGTTTACTTATTTTTTTATTTTTTTACCTACTTCGTAGGCAGCCCAATGCATGGTTAGGCGTGTCAAATATTTTACCAAAAGACTGAAATTTTTAATAAAACTGTAACTGCAATGTAATAAATTCCCAGATAACAATGCAATTCTGCAGTTCAAGATGCCTGCTACGGGCGCCGTTACTCACTGCATAGTAATTATAGTTTTTAGTATACTATGCAGCGAGTGACGTCACCCGTAAGCTGGATCCAGAACTGCAGAGTTGCATATTTGCATTATTATCTGGACATTTATTACGTTGCAGGCACAGTTTTATTTAACATTTCAATATTTTAGTCAAATATTTATAGCCATTGGCCAACAAGGCAAGAAATATTTACGCCTATGTGATATACCAGTAGTATAGGGAAGAGGGGTTCTGGCGCGGGTGGATCGGGTGGATCCACCCATGACTTCATCACAGTATAATTTCATATCAATTACACGCGCTTATAATGTATTTAAAAGGTGTGGGCCAATGATTACTACATTAGTACATTTTAAGAATTACTACATTTTAAGATTACTACATTTTAATACTTTGCTAATATTTATCCCCACATATATTCCTTCTAACATACTGAATGAATTTTAACACTTTCTCGATATATATTCTACTAAAGTTGTTGTAATGCTTGTGGGACGTAGATATTGTACGCATGCGCAGTGAGAATTGTGTATTACAAAAATTCCTGACTTATAAGAGTTTGCAAAGATTCCGGGTGGAATTCTGCAGAGAATATCCCAATTTATTCAAAATTTCCCGAAATTATAAATGACAATAAAAATAGAATATAAAACGTATATTTGAATTCATCGTATTATAAGGTTTTATTAGATTATCTTAGAGTGTCCACTACTTTAACACCATCCTTGGTTTTCCTGGAGATACATTCACCATGTTCAGGACTATTAAACAAGGAATAAGAAAAATTCAGACATACATATGAAAATTTTTAAACAGAACTAAACAGTTGCTAAGCCCAAGTTAAAATCGTTGTCAACGCCGTTGTTATGGCCGATATTTGCATATTACAGAGTCATTAAAAAGTGATTAACCCGCCCACCCTGTTTGGATATACTCAATTTTTTTTCACCCAGCGAGCTTGAGACAGGAAAAAAAAATACTAACGAACGCAGAGTTATTACAGATTATATGCAAGATATATCCAAATTTTGTCGTTTGTGGCTCTCTAAAACGTATACCGCCAAAATCATTAACAGTCATTAATGGATTACAAGTAAACTTTTAATCTCTTAACTTAAGTGCTTATTATGGATAGATATAGGATTATTTATTACCTTAAAATCGGGCGCGTGGCTTTGCAGGCAATCGTTTGAACAAATATTTCACTTTTAAATCTTTTAACGGTTCGTCATCGTGACTGCTTTCATCATTGTGGCTGCTTTCATCATCCGAGAAATTGATATCCTGAGATACTGTGTGATATCCTAAGATACTGTATGATATCCTAAGATACTGATATCCTGAGATATTGATATCCTAAGAAAGGCTAAGATACTGATATCCTAAGATACTGATATCCCAAGATATTGACTGCTCCGGCAAATGATTCAAGTTTGCATAGAAACACGGTTCTATGCATTGTTGGCTCCTATACTCCTAGCCCTACATCGACCCTACATCGACCCTACATCGACCCTACATCGACCCTTGTCTTCATCTTCTTATCTTCCTTATCCTTATCTTTATCTTCCTTATCCTTATCTTTCTTATCGTTATCTTTTTATCTTCCTTATCATTATCTTTATCTTGTTATCTTTATCTTCTTATCTTCCTTATCTTTATCTTTTTATCTTCTTATCTTTATCTTCTTATCTTCCTTATCCTTAATAATTCTCCCGCTATATTGATATGTTCAACACAACTTAGGCTCAGAATCGAGCTTGAATGGCTCGGAGCCAAGCTCGAATGGATTAAGGTTTCAATGATTCACTCTTATGATTCAATGATTCACTCTTATGATTCAATTATTCACTCTTATGATTCAATGATTCAATCTTATGATTCAATGATTCACAGAGGAGTAGAGGCTCCTTAGGCTCGGAGCCGAGCTCCATAAGCTCGGAGCCAGCTCCTTAGGCTCCGACCAGAAGCTCCATAGGCTTCTAGCCTATGTGAAGCTTCTTTAAAGCTTCT